GAGCATTTCTTATATTGTGAAGGGGCCCATCCTGAGGCCCCGGATCCAATGCAGTAGAAATTGGTCAAATTAGCTATCAGATACATGGAGGCCTTAAATCACAAAAGGACAAGACATGACAACTCCAAAACCCCATATATTCTCACAAAAATAAATTCACATTTGTTATTTGTTTACAGTGCAAAACTGAATTGGGGAAAAATTTTGCGTCCAGTTTAACTTTACATATGGTTAAGGTTTGCACTTTTATTTGATATGAGACAAAGTCAAATTTGAAGCAAAAACAATCAGTTGCGTTTAGCAGATTTGCACTCTCATACATTTGCATCAGTGCAAATTTCATTCAGCATATTTGTACTCTCATTTATTTGCACTGCACTTTTTGAATCAAGACTCCTTACCCACATAATATGCCATCAAGTCAAGTCACTAACTATTCTTTAAGCCTTTAAACTTACCCCAAGTTGAAGGCAGCCCTTGTTTATATATGTGCCAAGTTGTTGATTTTTCATCATCATCATCATCATCACGTAAGAAATGAACTCTTAAATAATTTCTTGTTACTTCAAACCATGTCCTCTTTGATTTGTCATTGGCCCTTCTAACCCCTTCAGCTTTAACAGATTGTTTCTTTTTATGGATGCTGTAGATGGTTTTTATATGAACGTGATCAAATTATCTTAATCGACTTCAAATTGTTTGTTTAATTAAAAATTAAATTACCTACTGGCTATTATTGAAAAGCCTACCATATCTTTGGCCTTTTCCTAAAAATTGAATTGCATTCTACAATCAAACCGCAAGTATTCGACAAAATAGAACAAGATTGAAGTTTGTGAGCTTGCTATATCCATAAGGAGGGATATTATAAAATAAGAGGAACCAAGTGATGGTGGCTCAGTTGGTAGATTCTTTAGCTAGTTGTAGGAAAGACCTGGAATCAAAGCCAATTGTCATTAGGGTTTAGGGTTTTATGGGTATTGGAGGATGGACTACCCTTTTGTGTGGCCCATGAAAAGAGAGAGAGAAAGACAGAAAGAAATAAGAGGTCTTTTACATTAGGAAAATTTCTCCATACTATTTTCTTTTCTATATGGGACATATCACCATCAAGACTTCAAGTTGCACTATGGGTGCTAATTGTCAGCTATATTAAATCTGGTTTCACTAAAGTTTCCCCCTCATGTGCAGGCCCCATTAAATCGTCATCCTATTTGAGATGCTATTCATCATCATCATCATCATCATCATATAAGCCTTGTCCCAACCACATGGGGTCAGTTACACGAATCCTTTTTCGCCATTCAATTTTTTAGTGCCACATTTAATCATTCCTATTACTTCCACCCAAGTTCTTTTCAGTCTGTCCCTCTTCTAGTCTCTTCAACTTGTAACAAATCATTTTTTCTAGCAGGTGCATATGAGATGTTATTGTCACCGGGAATTTAACTTGGTTTTTGGCCAACAGAAAAAACAAAAGGGAAATTGAGAGACACCTGAAAGCCTCAAAGATAAACCCAACACAATCTCTCTATCCTCTTAGTTCCTTTTTCCCTCAAAGATAAACCCATTGGTCGTTTTCTCCTTCATGAGAATAATAATAGTGAGAATCTGATCATGCTTCCCTTTGTAGCTACATAAGTGCCAAAGAAGAAAGAAGAAACCAACTTTGGTTACCATGGATTTGACATGCATTGCAGTAATGAACACTTCACTAATCCAGATAGAACCTTCCTTATAGATTGCTGTCTTGGTTGCGCAGACCATTCCTTCACATAAGCAAAATATATAGTGGATATATATGTCCACCTTAGCCCCATACCTCTCTGTCTTTCTTCACTTTTGGCCTTTGAATGATAGTTTCATCTTTCCTTTCTCAAGATCTCAACCGGTGGGCTTATTTGTCTAAGCTTATTTTCACTCAGCTGAAGGTTGGGCTTAATATTTTCCAACCCGATCCAACTCACCCTTCTACTAAAAAACCAAGTTCTGTTGCCTGGACCTGTTCAGTTTTTTCTGATCCTAGATAGACTGATCCCAACTTGGAATAATGGTAAAACCTTGGACTGGCAAGCATGAGAACACAGGTTTGAGTTTATGGGCGACCACTTTGTGCCAAAAAAAAAAGAAAAATGTCAAAGGCTAAGACTGTGCTCAGTCTACCCTCCGAAGGCCCAAATAGCTGGGTCCAACATTGGGCAATGACCTTTTTTCATAGACCGATCCTGTTCCAATTTTAATTTGGGTCAGCTGAGATGTACCAAACTGATCCAAACCAATGCATCTGTCCTAACAAACAATGCAATCTCCCCACCCCAAAAGACACACCAATGTGGGGGTGGTATGCAAATCAGGGGGTGGTGGAGTCCAGTGGAGGGGAGCCACCCACACCCCACACCATATCCATGCTTCAAAAATCCACAAAATCTCCATATATATTCCACTTATATTTTGGCCCCATCCATGTTTGTTTGACCCCCCCCTCCCCCCGCCCAATCCATGTTTATTAGCTTTTGGCTCCCCAAGAAAAAAATCAGGGCATCCGCCCCTGATGCAAACATATCACCAAATGGATTGACAATGTACACAATCAAGTTCTTAAATTTTGGAAAATTCAACCATTTTGGACCCTAAATCTGAAATGATTTTGTTTTGAAACTTTGGACGATATTTTTATGAAAATTTGTTATTTTTAAAAATATTTATTAATTTTAATACAGAAGTCTGAAACCCCAAAGTTTCATTTTGAAATGCACCCAAAGCTTTTCATATCTATTCGACTATTTTGAAATATTTCATGAGATTTTGCAAGAATTTAGTAAAAGCATGATCATAATTTATGGATTTAAAGTGGTTTTATTGTTAGAGGTGTAATATATGGGCAATGATCATGTAGGAATGATCATTGTGACTCCATAAGTAAACTCTGTGAGCCCACCAAAATTGAGACACGCTTGGAAGTGTTAGTTTTAAATGCCTTTGGTGCAATTAGTGATGAAGATGGTAGAGATTACACCATTCACTGACTGAATCACACTTAGTTGAAGGATTTCTTCTACAAGATGCTCGGTTTTGTCATATCTAGTTCTCTCTCATTATCACCAAGGAGAGGGAGATGGGGGCTTTTTTTTGCCTTTTAAGAGTTAGGTGGGCCATGGGCCACAAACTTTAATAAAATCTAGGCCCATCATTGACTAATGCTGCATTTGTGGTGTCATGATGCGGTATTCTTCAACATTATTGTTAAAGATTTAACAATCCACTTATCCACTCCACATTCAGTTCTCTGCTTTAATAAAAATGGGTTTATTCCAAATTAGTGATGGTTTCTTTCGTTCTTTCTTTCTAAGATTAAAAGTTGTTGGGGGAATATATATAGCCACGTGGAAAATGGCGCTTTCCACATGGCAGAGACTCTCACATGAGACAGTGCCCTTTCATAAATTTGTACATCAGACTGGAATCCCTATACCCAACTTGCATTCTCATGAACGTCAGTCGATCCAATGGTCAAAAAGTGCTGTTTTAAGTAAGGGGACCCTCATTGGTTCCTGACCCTTTTGGACCGTCAATAAGCTTTCCATTTGTAAGGTTCCAAGGTCCTTGTAGCTCACCCTATCTAAACAGGGACCGTAGGCCCAGCAAAAAAAAAAATCAACATATGGCCTGGTCCCCTATATACTGTTAATGAGGGGCCTCTCACATGAGGGGGAAGTTTTTACCGGTTGATTGGTATCCAATGGAAACATATTCCAATAAAATGTGGGGTATCCGCGTTGAATGGATTCCAATCTGGTGCTTTAAAAGTTTTCCCCTGATGTGAGTTGAGGGCCCCTTATTAAATTGCCACGCATTAACAATAGCACAAACAGCCTTGTACATGTCCTTCTTACTTTATAGGGCCAATGACAATCACATGTCAATAGAGCTGTTGAGAATCAAGGTAACTCAACTTCCTCTTAGCCAAGCCTAAGCTCACTTTTACAGATCAACTGATCAAGCTAGAAGTTGAGCTCCTCATTTTCTTCTTAATTCCTCTGAAGGGTTTATTGACTTGGGCTTTGTAGGATCTGTATTGCATGCAGGCTTGTTTGCTGTTGCTGTTTCCATGATCGAATGGTGGAAGAACTTTGATGAACAGATTGTATAGAGCTATAGCTTATACATTCTCTCAGGCTGTAAAGGCTTAGGTCAAATAAAGTTTAGAAACCCACCAAAAAGAAAAGAGTTCTAGAAGATGCATGCACGTTCATGGCATCAACCTTAGCTGCAGCCTGCAGGGTAGATTTCAACTTAGTAGTCTTATGGCCCAAAGGAGAAAAGGAAGGCATTTTCTTACTTTTATTCGAAGAAGAAACAGATGAATTCAAATCAGTTGATCTTCAGAGGACAGAATCCATGCTGAAATCAATAGCCAATCTGAGCTGATATTTTGGCCCTATTCCCAATATGAAAATCCATTGCACCAGTCAGGTCTAATTGCAACCTTCATATCATCTGTTAGATGTTCCAAAAGGCCCACAACTCCATAGTGATCCTTAAATGAGTCAATGTCTTCAACTTGTAGTTTCCTTTATTAGAAGAATGCTTCAGGAAGGTCATGGGCGGTCTGAATTGATGGGCATATTTGCTTAAATAGAGGGCACCAACAATGGTGGCAGTGGGCCACTAAACTGTATTTTGGGGTTTACAAAGTGAAAGAAGGTATTTGCTTTTGGAGGTCATAGTTAAATGTAGAACTAAAATTAAAGATGGAACTTTGACAAGAGAAGATTGGGGTTGAGACCACACCTCAACGAGAAATCAATTTTACCAGTATCAGGGATAAAAATGCTTATTCGTTTCAGCAGAAATGTGGCTCTTCATTGCTTCTCATTTGCACTGGTTTCCTTTCTTTTAAACTTTTTAATACAAACATCCTTTTCTGTATAACTTTTTTCTCTTCTTGCACTTGAATAGATTAAATAAAATATTTTAACAAAAAGAAGATGCAAAGACACTTAAACAAGAATAAGAGAATTATTCTTCACTGGTGATTACATACTCAAACCATCTTATCTTCCCACAATTATAGAAACAAATATCTCAAATTCTAATTTTCTGCATCCTATGATAATAATCTTCTTTGTAACATACACCCAAAATTATTCCCCCATTGGAGTCAGGGGGTTAGTGTCAATATTTCCTAAAAGGTGTGCTCTAAGTGAAAAAGAAAGACCTAAACTGATAAATATTTTAGAACAAAATATACCAACAGGAAAGGTCAAAGAAATCTCATTCCTTGAAATCATCTTTGTCATCATCAGGAATTGGTCTGTTTCTCCAGAAGACAGCGAGAGCACTCCCGCCAAGCTGTAAAGAAGATGATGACCACAGACACGATGTCAGAAAGGAATTCCTAAACAGATGCCACTGATGAAAAATAAGGAGAAAAAAATCACAAATTAGTTCATTGAGTGTGAGTCCTACCGCCATGCAAACAACACTGACAGCTGAAGGAACAGCAACAAGGGGATTTGTGAAGTGTTTTTGAGCAAGTAAGAATCCCAGGGCAGAACTCTGCATAAATGGACCAATATACAAGTTGAGCATTTTTTATGCATTAACCAAGGTTCAAAATATTGCAACATATAATACCATATCATCTGATACATATCGGTATTTTAATTTTGAACCCACTGAAACGCTACGTAAAGGGGTTTCCTTATGTGCAAACATTAGAGCCCCTCCGAAGATGTTTATCCTTGAAATACTAGACTGAAAAAAATAATGATTATTGCCCCTTTGAATTGTGTGATACACAATTTTTGCATATTGTGTGTTGAGGTGTTAACTAAGCATAGTCTGCATAAGTTGATATATATTCACCTTCTTTTGATAAATGTTCATTTATTGTGATTTATGTTTTCTCCTACCTTCGATGGATGCAGCTCCAAGGTACAGTGAATTCAGACATGCAATTCCAGTTGCCACAAGAATATGCAATCAACAAACAACATCAATGCTAGCCAATATTCAGTTAAATTGGACAATTACTGATGGAGGCCCATCACAAGGCCCATCTCACCCCTAGGGGCGGCAGCTCCTAGGATAAGGATAAGTCTAACTAAGATCCAAGAATTCAAGATAAGCAATGGATCCAAGAATCCAAGATTAGCAAGACTCTTCCAAGATTAACAAGATAAAGCAAGACTCTTCCAAGACTCTTCCAAGATTATCAAGAAAGACTCCAAGAAGCATCAAGATTAGCAAGATAATC